ATGATAAATATTTAATTGATGATTGAACATTGTATTGATAGTGGGTAAATGATTAATTGTTATTTTGTTGTGAATTAGGTAATTATGGTTTATGTTGAAATTGTGCGATTATGTATGATTTAAATAATTGAATGTGAAATTGTATGATTGGTGATTTGTTGGTTGTATTGAGTGATTGAATGAGAGAAGAAGGAGCTTAAGGAATGGGTTCATTTGGATGAAACATTCGGCCAAGACTAGAAAGAATAGGGAAAGATTGTGTTGTAGGAAATTGATGCAATTAAGGTATTTGATTAAACGTGTAAACCATGTTTTGGCTTGAAACTAAAGAGGAAACTTGATAACCTTGGATTTGCTTGTGCTTGTTAGACTCTATACATGTTGAATTAGAGTTTTCTCTCTTTAGAAAATTTATAGCCAAGTTTCTTTCCAATGCATTAAGGCTGTGTTTGTTTGGGAGAAAACAAGTTCCATAGGAAAATCAATTCATGAGGAAGCTATTTTTTCGAAAATTATTTTCTAAAAACATATTTTTTATCGTTTGGTAATTACATGAAAAACCGCTAAAAAATATATTCCAACGTTTGTTTGATACCGAAAATTAAAATACAAAAACACATGTGATTATTATATCAACAACTTTTGAGAAAACTTCAAAAAGACATATTCATAATTTCACAATATAAGATACATTTAATACAATTTAATAAATTTTTACAAATACTAACTCTAAAATTTTAATTCAAAAAATAAAATATAATTTTTTAACCATCAAACCAATTCATCAAGTTACTTGGGACAAAAGCATGTCAATATTCACATTTATTAAAAAAAAAAAACATTTTAAGTAATCCTAGCATTGTTATTTTGGTAACTCAATTAATATTTTTTTTATAAAGAAATTGAATTGATAATTTAGTCTCGAAAAATAGTTTTATAAATTATTAGTTATCATTTATAGATAATTATTCATTTGGTCTTAAAAGATTAATGTTACCATAATTTGTAACTAATTATTTACTAGAATTACTAAGAAAATTTTACTATTGATTAAAATTATAAATTATTGATTTAATTGCAAATAAATAGTGTTGAAAAAAAATGTATTTATTGATGAATTAATTAATTTTATTTTTTTATATAAAAAATTATAGTCTTGTAATAATCATTTCCAATAATTTAAATATAGTTTAGGTGGTGTTCGAGGTAATAGTAAAAAAATAGAGATAAATTACTGAAATATTTATTATAAAAATAATTTTAAGGTGTAAAAATAGTTTTTAAGAATATTATGTATTTATAAATCGAAAAATCAAATATTAATAAAAATAGAAGAAAAATAATTAAATAATTGATAATAATTGATAAGGAACAATTAAAAATTAATCTAATATATTTTAAATAAAAAGAAGATAGAGAAAAAATTATTAAAATATATCGAGAGAGAGGTAAGTAACACGAGAGCGAGACGACTCATGAGAAGGAAAATGTTTTCATTTTTTGAAACTAGAAAAATATTTTTTCAAAAATACTCTATCATTTTTCATTGATTTTTTTCCTAAATGCGAAACAAATATCGAAAAATCAAGAAAACAAGTTCCCGAAACTTGTTTTCCTCCAAACAAACACGACTTAAGTCTTGCATCAATTGGAGATCCATAACTTCGGTTATGGGCTAAATATTGCCACTAACTCAACATGTCCACTAGCCTTAGGATTCCAAATTTGTAGCTAAATTCCTCTATCGGACCAACCTATTTTGAATTAGACCCTCATAATAATTATAGGTATGCCTCTAAAGTATTCAAAGGGCTAAGCCTTGCATTAATTGGAGTTTTGAAACTCCAAATATGAATTAAAGTCTACAATTGATCCGAACTTCGAATAGGATTCGGATCATCTCTCTAAATCAGAATATGAAATATTATTTGAAGGCTCAAACAAGCTTAGATTTTGACCCAATATATCATTCTATAAAGCTTGAAATGTCCTCTACAAAGGCCTTGAAGGCCACTTTTTTTAAATCCAATTCTAAGGCTTTGGAAGACCTACAAGAAGTCTAAAAGGCTTTGAAAGACACTGTAAGAAGCCTAAAAGATCTAAGTTAATCATGTTGGAATTCAATTAGGAATTCAAAGATTTATGTTTAAATCATGTGATAGTAGTGTTTTGAACAAATGAATGAACTTTGGTGTAATTGGTGATGTTTTAATGTTTAATGAGAAGGAATCACTTGATTGTTTGGTAAGAGAGTCATTCGGCCAAGTCTCCAATTTAAGAAATTACGAAATTGAATGGTTAAGCAATGAAATTTAGTGACTTTAGCCTTGGTTAGTTGTAGTTAGGTGCAATGAAATGAAAAATAAAATAGGATAGATTGATTAGGAAGTGGATTAGGCTTGAAAACACGTGATGGACAACTAAATGTAACCTTTCCATCCACATATGGGAGGCCTATAAATTGCCCCCCAGCTCAATTCAATTGATCTCGAAATCTCGTAGAGATCTCATCAATAGCTAGTTAAATATAGAGTGTTTTCTCTGACTAGGTTTGTAACTCTTATTATTTTTCATAGCGAAAATTCTTCTATCCTTGCATGTAGTTTTTATCCTAATTTGTTTAGAGGTTTTCCACATAAAATATGTATTCAATTTCTTCTTTATTTTTTTAAATTTATTAGCAGTGATGCTGCTCTAATCCGGTGCGTTAATTTCACACTAGATAAATGTTAATTAATTAAGAATTTAAGCAAACAACAATGGCTAAATCAAATCTTTTCCTAGCAGGAGAACACAAGGCAACATTGGTCCTCAATTACGCGTTTACGTTAGGTGTCTTGACAGTTAACTTGATCATCTGGCTCATAAAAGAAAAAGGGGAAAAGGGCATTGTTTATGCTCAATTTGCGCGTTAATACGATAGGTTTTATACTAATTACCAGTAATTAATTAGTGATGCTAGCATTGATTCTACCAACCCAAGTGAGACAAATATATTGAACGCACCACAAAAGTAATTAATTAGTCCGGCCTCATATACATTTGTTTTCTTTCATGATGGTTGGATTGATGCCATCCCCGTTGTCTTAATTGCTTGCATCAAGTTTGTTGAAAATAAATGCAATAGTACTAATTAAGTATATATGTCTTTTTGAGATTCCAATGTATGCTGCAAATTCCTAATCAGAATGTTTTAGTTTATAATTCGGTAGTTGATTTAACTATGAGGAGAAAGAATTTGGCTATTTTTAGCAATTTGGCTATGTTATTAGATAAATTCATCAATTTTAGCATTACTCGATCTTTCGAGAAATTATATATTTTTTTGTTCTAAAAAGATTGTCCATTTTCTATTTATATTTATTCCAAAATATTAATAGTGCTAAAACTTTAAATGATTTACTTTCCTAAAATACCCTTATCTAAAGTTTATTTTTGTAAAAATATTGTCTAAATATATATTTTTGAAAAGTATGAATAAAATATGCTGATATAACATAATAATTAATAATTTTTTTAATTTGTGTAAAAAATAAAAAAATAATAATTTTTTTTAGAACAACTGTGCTTTATTCGGAAATTTTATTGAATAATATGGCCAAGCTGCTAAAATAGCCAAATTCAAGATGCTAAAATTTTTAAATGAAACACCACTTGTTATATATTATTGGTAAAATTACTTTTCATTTTGTTTATCAAAAGATCATAAAGTTTTGTTCTATATATGAGGACATTTGAGTTATTAGAACTTGCGAATTTGCTTAACAGAAGCAGTAATTATCTAATCAATAAACCTTGCATTCGTTGTTAAAATTTGATGATGACATCAATTTATACTTCTTAAAGTGGAAATACTTCAAGTTATGATTTCAATGGAGTGGAGATATATATTCTGATTATTATTATCACTTAAAACTAAAATGTAAATTTATGTATATGCAAAAAGAAGACCTTTGTGAACTGTGAACTGTGAAGATTGCAAAAAAAAAAAAAAACACAGAACATGATTCTTATCGCCCGGATCAAACAGCCGACACTACTTAATTACAACAGCATAATGACACAATGAAACATCCTTTTTTGGATTGTTTAACGACCATATAGTCCTGGACGAAAGTGTAAAAAATTATTAGTATATCAAACCAATCAAAATTTCCCCTCTTTGTTCTTGAAAAATTAGGTTTTTTTTTTAAAAAGAATCTATCTCGGATCGAATTAATAACAAATTAATAGATAATATATAAAATTTAAAAATATCATCCATCATAAGGTTAAATTTTTTTTTGGATAGAATTGATTGTTAATTATTAAATTTAATATGATATCTAAGTCCATTGAGATCCAATAATCCAATAAAACTTAAAACTCAAACCATTTTGAGGTATGATATTTGAGCTCTGTTGAGATCCAACGCCCAATAAAACTCAAAACTCAAACTATCTTAAACTTAAAGATGAACTATAAGTGAAAGGAGTGATAGATAATTTATCTTACATCACTCGTCATAAAATTTAAATCTTATCTTTTTTTTAATAGAACCTTATTTTAACTATTAAATTTAATACCTATTTACAGAATTTGTCTCAATATATATTAGACCTTACAAATAACCATTTGGTCGACATTATCATGATCACAATTAGGACTAATGTCGTGGGTTTAAAATTAATTACTAGTCAAATTGAAAATCAATAGACTGATGTCAGTATGAAAAAGAGATGCACTGCATTTTAGTAATTTAGTAATATGCAAAGTTAATTTTTCCATCTGGAACACAAACATAATCACCGCAACATCCTTTTGCTTATTTTTTATATCAGAATCTTATGCATATAGTCCCATGTTGTCCGGCCTAGCTAGATGTTGGCCTTTTATATATAAGATTATCAACATTTCCAAAGAATTGAAGCTAATAAACTCTTCACCTCGATCTTTCAACCAATTCCCACACCTCTTCTTACATTTTCTCTCTAAGGAAACAACTTGCTAGCTAAAAAGATATGGGGGACTTAAAAACTTTGGCAAAGGCAAGAATGGAGCTTGAAGAATTGTATTCAGGAATCCCTGATGATTCAGTCAACCTCACTTTTCAAGACCTAGCAATGCATGTAAAACAAAACACAAGTAGTACATCAGAGAAGATTAATACCACCACCACCACCACCACCAAAATGGAACCTCTTCGAGAAGCCCAAAACCCTAAACAAGTTTCAAACCTAATCAAGTTGCCTAGCCTTGATTTCAGCAGAGGTTTACAGGCTTCTAAAAATCATCACCAACCTCATCATCCTGATCATATTGTTGAAGGGCACCCATTTGATCAGTCTCATAAACATTTCCTTCATGATGGTCATCCTCCATATGGACATGGAGATCAATATCATGATCAAAGCCATCTTGGTCATGCAAATATGGGAAGAAAAAGTCCTCCAAAATCAAGGTTTGCACCGGAGAGAAACAAGGAATATGATGATGTGAGTGTTCTGAGCATGAATTCTATGTACCAAGAAAGAAGTGGACGACCTCGTCGCCCTGGAATCCCTCACTCCAATATTTGTACCGTTTGCTCCACTTACGTCTATATTTTCCGGCATCGTTGCTTGGTGAGTACCAAAACAATGTTTTTCTTCAATTAAGCCGCCAATTATATAATCATGTCTTTAACGGGGGGGGGGGGGGGGGGAGAGAGAGAGAGTGTTGTTCAAATAATATTTTTAGTAAACAAACTTTGTTTGAATTACATTGTTTTATTATTTCATTTTAGATCAATTTGTGGGATTTGATATAAGGTCTATGAGAAAGATCAAGTAACGAGGATTTTCCGCCGATTAGGTGACTATGCCCCAAAATGAGTTCAATTGAGGGTATTTTAAGAAAAAAAATTAATATAACTGGACCATGTTAGTGGATAAATATATACTAGTATTGTAGATTTATATTTTTGTAATTATATATGGCTAAGAAATTTATAATTTTATGTACAGGTTTGTGGAAGAGTCTATTGCAGGAATTGTGTAAGCATAGGAATGGGAGAGATGACAGAAGGAAGAAAATGCATCGAGTGTTTGGGGAAACGTTTCAGCCAAAGGTAACATTGCTAAGCATATATATTTCCTTCAAATTTATCTTATATATATACAAATTAATTAAGAATTTTATTTATTCATAATTTTTTTCTGTACAAAACTGAATTTAAATTAGATTTTATTCGGCAATATTAAATCTTAAACCTTGCAATGAAAAGGTCTCAGAACTTTCTCACAAATCCATAAATTAATTTGGATTAAATTCCAAGCTTTTGACCGTCAATGTTAATTTATTTGATTTCTCTTACTGTATCTTCTTTTTCTAATTATTAAAATTTCAATCTAATAATTTATTTGAATGGGAGCAGTTAGTCGATCTTCACCAAATATAATCAATTGCCTTTAATCTAGTTAATTATAAATTAAATGATTAATTTAATTCAGAAGGTTCTGAAAATAATTAAGCATTTGAACCTGGATTTATTCAAGTCACAAAAAACAAACAAATGGACAAAGCTCATCAATCTGCCGATAACAACAAGACATTAGGAGTGTACTTCCTTCTGCCGTCCCACTAATTAATATATTAAACCTAGTTAATTACCAAGACGAAAGAATATGACATGATCTTATACAAGACATTAATTTATGGGACAAAATTAATTATCTCAAATTCTAACGATTTGTCTGATTATTTATATAGGTACATAAATAGAGCAGGAATTTTAGGGTGCTGTTCAGGGTATCCTAGTGTTGTTAAGCAGGCAGAGCTGAAGTGGGCTGAGAAGGGGCCAAGAAAGGCAGGAGAAAGAGCATTTGGTCACAGCACCATGACCTCAAGATCAAGAAGTCCTATAACTCCAAGGACACCAAGAACACCAAATAAGGCAGCTGGTGCTGCTAGCATGAATCAAGACCTACCTTCTTTTGTTGCAAGCTCACCATTTTCTCCTTATAGTACTCCTCAACATCACCATCTGCCCTTATAGGAAGGGCCCTTAATTATTCCACTTCAAAAGTTAAGTTGGGTTTAAGATAATCAGTTAATTTCTTGATGTGTTTGTTTTAGTCATTGAATATTGTTGTTGATCATTTTTTTTTTTTGGGAAGCCAAAATCTTTAATGTTTCAACATGTGAGCCTTGGGATATTTTATGTTTGTTTACTGTTGTACTACTTGATATATATATGTTTTATTTACTAATACTTTGTGATTTAATTGTTGATCATTTTTCTATATTTAGGTGAAATATATATTTGTAAAATAATTAAATTAAGGTTATCCATCAAGGTTTAAGTTTTAAGAATAAAATTTAATCTCAATTATTTAACTTGACATGATATCGAGACTTCAATAAATCTAACTCGTTTAACAAAAATTTTGAAACTCAAACCATTTAACCGATTTTAAAAAATAAAAAAGAGTATTAGAGAATCTATCTTATATCAAACAAATAAATAATAGATATACACTAGTCAACTTTCCATGCTACGTCGTAGGTCGAACAAAAAAAATATTAATTAAAAAATTAATTGTAAATAATAAGAGTAATATAATCTGATATATGTTCATTCTAAAATATAAAAACATAATATATATATTTCATAATCACTAACTCTGTGTGAATAATCGAACAAAATAACAATTATTTTTTTCATAATTTTTCCATCCAATTTAATAATAAAAAAATAAAAATAAATTGCTAGAAAAAAAAAGCATAAACCAAAAAAGGGAAAAAAAAAAAGCAAGCATGTATGCTTGGTCCATCTAGGGACCAAAATAAATAATAATTAGTTTTTCATAATTTTCACATACAATTCGAAAATAAAATAAATTGCAGAAAAAAATGTTAAATTTGTATAAGAATACCAAAAAAACTTGAAAATCATGAAAATGCTATTGTATGTTGAAAGAAATAATGCACATGAATCTTGATGAATAGTGCAAAAAAATCTGCATGAACAATATTTCAAATAGTACTAGTGTAAACCATAATTTTATTTTAGTTTTTTTTTTTGTGATAATATATATTTTTGAGAAATGACCACTCATCATAAGGATAATATTCGATGTTAAATGGTTGATAATCTCCCTATTTGAAAGAAGTTCAAAACTATTGGATTATTTTAAATAAAATATATTTTTAATATTAGAAAAATTGTTTTTAAAAAATATAAATTACTATTTTAAAACAGTAACGTGTATTATTTTAAAATATTTATTTGAACATTAAAATGCAAGGATATCGTTTATTGTAATTAAAAAATATAAATATTTGGCTTTAAATTCGTGGATTCATTCTTTCCAAACGGCTACCTTCTCCTAGCTTATAAATATGACATTCTCTTATCATTTCACTACAACAACAATTTTTTTCTTAACTTTTGCACAGTGAAAAATTAGCAAGCATTTTTTCTTTGTTTTGCCGAAGAGGAAAAGAAAAATATTTCTTTCAATTTTGTCAGCTTTTATCTCCCCTAATAAGCCATATTACTGTTATTAATTCTTTGTTTGGGTAAGAGTAATGATATTTTTTTTAGAGGTTCTAGTTGTACAAATAATGTAAATTTGATGAGATACGATAAGATGATTGAACTTATTATATCCTTAAAATAATTTATTGCATCGAGATAAATTTTACGAATGATATGTTGACTCAAGATAAATGTCCTATTGGAATTTTAGTTCATAATTAACAGTACTTTTGCAAAATATAATAAGCTGGATCGGAACGAGAATCAATCCAAGTTAGAACAAAACGCTGTTAATCTAAAAAAAAAAAAAAGGATAATCAGGAATTATATATATATATAGACGCACACTAGCATGATCTTCCTATCACTCGGAAAAGTTCGTGAAGTTGTAATAAAAATGGATTTTCATCCATTTTAGCCCATAGAGGACCAAAATACATAGATACACAGCCCAGTCCACAAAGGGCCGCAGTGCAAATTAAAATACAAGGATATTCTATATATATAGACTTGCATCCTTAAAAACAAATTCTATAATTTGTTAATTGTTTTACTGAATGATATGAAGAAATATTATTAGTGATTTGTAAATTAATAAATTCTATAATTATAATTGTATTATTAAATATGGTAAGATTTACATAATGCTAAATATACTTAATTTTTTAATTGTTTTACTAAATGATATGAAGAAATATGATTAGTGATTTATAAATTAATAAATTCTATAATTATAATTGTATTATTAAATATGGTAAGATTTACATTTCACGATTTAAAAATCTTTCCCTACAACAAATGCTACATCACTTAATAAAAAAGAGTTTTTTTTTAAAAAAATAAATACTCCTAGCATTAATACGATATAAAAAAAAATTAAAAAATTAATTTATTATATAAAAACAAATTGAGCTATTAATTTCAAAAAAAATATTTAGTAACATTCCAAAAGTTATTTTCAAGGCAGCTTAAAAATGAAAAGTACAAGGTTAAAGAAAATTAAGTTTTTGATATTTTAAATACATTATAATATAAAAGCATTTTAACATCATATTAAGTTATAATTGCATTATTAAATAGGGAAAGATTTACATTTCACGATTTAAAATCTTTCCTTACAACAAATGATACATCACTTAATAATATTTTTAAAAACAAATTAAATACTCCTAGCTTTAAGATATAAAAACAAATTAAAAAATTAATTTATTATATAAAATCAAAATTAGCTATTAATCTAAAAAAAATATTTAAGGAAGCTTAAAAATGAAAAGTACAAGTTTAAAGAAAATTAAGTTTTCGATATTAATTTTAAATACATTATAATGTAAAAAACATTTTAACATCACATATTACCCACTATTTTTTTATATTGATAACATTACAACAAAAACAATTGATTTACCAAACAGATCCTTACACATCCTAAATATCTCTATATTACTGGGAATAAACATCAATGTTTGTCCTCCATGCTGGAATGGTACAATATTCCATCGATCATATGTAAGCAAAGACCTGACCTCCTCACAAGAAATTTGGTGCAGACAACCAACTCCATTATTGAGTTTTTGCCACCTCATCCACCGGTCCCATTTTCCGGCATCTGGGCCGGCAAATTCGCCTCTTCCAAGTCACTATACTTTGAATTTGTTGACCGATCAAGTACTAATGCTTGTCGGCATAAGGGACAAGATGAGTGTAACAGTAACCATTTGTCTATACATTCAACATGGAAACCATGGCTACATTTTGGTAGAACTCTTACCTTTTCGCCTTCCAAAAGTTCTCCAAGGCAAATCGGACAATCACTGTCCTGAATGTTTAGTCCTGATTTATATGTTACCACCGGAATCTGCCCCAATGCACTTTTCTTTAGTCCTGTAGTAGTAGTAGTAGTAGCTGCAGCTAGGCGTGAAGCAGCCTCCTGTGGAGCCTCAAAGCCAATTCTATAGCCACATCTCAGAGCATAACGGGCTATGGAGTTCATCGCAAGAGCAAATACTAATCCACATAGCAAAGCTATCAAAACTATCACCATGTTGCTCTCAAAATCTGCATCATTTTCGAGGCTGTAATCACTTGAATTCCTGCCTCCATGGCTATAAGGTGGCATCCCTGAATCTGTGTCCAGGAATAGGCGGTGCGGACGGAATAGAACTGAATTTTCCATGGCTAGCTAGCTTGCCTAGTTTTATCAGTCGCGGCGGCTTAAAATTTTACATTGGAATCAAGCTACCATTTAGGGTTTATGGAGCACGATGGGTTTGGATTTTGAAGGGACCATGTGCTTTAGCTACCATAGATATTTTACCTTTTGGTTTAAGGTAACTTCATATATGGTGTGTTGCAAATGTTCCAACCTTTAAAGCTTCAAGCAAAGCAGCTAGTTGGCTACATGGATAAGAGAAAAAGGGCAGTAAAGAATGTTTGGAGTTAGTAGTTATCCAAAACTGGGACCATATATAGAATGCTATCATACACCAAATTGGTCTGAAATTGCCCTCTCTAACCGCATTCAATGCTATGTGTGAAGAAAGATGGCAGAGGAATAGAGAATTTGTCTGACCTAAAGTGGTCATTGAAGTAAGAGATATTCCAAAGAGAGAAGCAACAAAGACGAGATGCTACAGGCTGCTAGCTAGATATTTTTGAGTTGGGTGTATGTGGTTGTGCATGTTTTACGTACATAGCAATTTTGGCCATATTTCGGATTAAAAAAAAAAATCGTAGTATGGTTCCATGATGTTGAAAATTTATTCCCTCTCTTCAAGAATATCAAGATGGGTTTATTTCATTAGAAAAATTATCTGAATATACATCTATTAGGTTAGATTTATTTGTATTAAGAGTTTGCTTTTTAAATTATTGAAAAAAATAATTTTAATTGAGATAAGAACTAATTAACTCAAAAATATATACTTCTAACTTTCTCTGGAAAAAAAAAAACAAAAACGAAAAAAAAAGAAAAAGAAAAAAACAACTCAAGACTTAACGTGATATGGCACGTAACCAGTCCCACGTATATAATCATTAGGATCAACTTACTACGAATATCCCATGATTATTCAAATGAGAACCTTTAGCTTTCTTCACTGTCATGTTGTCCTCTGTCACATCAAAATAAAAATAATGCAGAGTAAATTTCTTCTGCCCATGTGAAAATAAATTACTTGTAACAAGGTGATAGAAGCTGTGATATGACCTTTAAAATGTGGTCCATTTATTCATGTGAAGAAAACTGAAGTAAATAAAACATCTGTCTCCATCAAATTACTTGTAACAAGGTGATAAATGGAACTTGTGTCTGGTTTAGAAACTGTTGGACCCTGTAATTGAAAAATCGTGACCCACCTCGTGGCCATGCATGCATCGATCATTCAAGTTCCATCACCATTATTCAGTCTTGTAGTTCTTGCCTGCTCCAGCATGGGTTGTGGTCCTTATTGCTTGGTTTTGTTGTAAAGTCTAAAAACAGCAAAACTATATCAATCTCTTTCGAAGCTCGTAACTGTGATTTGTGTGAGGCTGAGGCTGCTCTTGTAAAGAAGGATTATGGGGTAATCGAAGGAACATTGGGCTAACCTTGAGGTAGTTGGGCAGGGTTTGGTGGGTGCATTTAAAGTTGAAACCATCCAAGCCAGTGTTTTTTAAACCATCAATGATGAGGCTTGAGCAATGGCTCCTAGATATGAAATCAATATGGGGTTTTCTGATGTTGACAATGGCTCCTAGAGGGAGACATAATCATTTTTACAAGTGGTTCAAATCTTTAGTTAAAGTTTTCTGCTTGGTGGTTGATCAAATCTTTAGTGTTCTTTCTTTGTCATAAAATTTTTACTCGTTTATCTTTTATTTAAAACTTGATATTTCAAAATTAGAGATATCAAACCACTATACCACTCAAGAAGAGAGAGGAAAAAAAAAATGAAAGGAAGAAATCACTAGCAACCTATTTTTTTACTTTGGTATTAAAAAAATTGAAGTAATAAAAAAAATATGTAATTTAATTTAAGAGTTAATAGCCTCTAATAGCTCAAAATTTCAATTTATTTTTATTTTTTAAAACGATCTTATTATGTTTCTATTATTTTAGTTAGTTCTTAACCTATCATTCTAGTCATTTTTTTTACCTAAATTATCAAAAATTAATCATGTAATTTGCACATGACATATTTTTTGACAAAAATTTTCATATATAAATCAAGTTATTTTATAGGTTACTTTTGAGGGTTGTTTTTGTTAAAAAAAAACATGTTAAATGAAAGTCACGTAATCAATGTTTGATAGTTTGATTGAAAAAATTAATCAAAAAATAAATTAAAAACTAGTTACAATAAAAGAATTATAATATGATCGTTTTAAAATATGAAAATCGATTAGAAACTTAGTTCATCTTATTAATACTTAGTTTAAATGACTAAAAAGAATGTAACTAATTAATTACACGGCCTAACCGCGTAGCCGGATTAATACTAAGACAAGGTTAGTTGATTAATCAACAACAATAAACCTTAATTACTCCGTCCTAGTTAAGTCAGTGTTAACATCACCAAATCATTAAAATCTCCGAGCACGAAAAAGGAAAAAGATAAAAGAAAAAGAAAAAAAAGCGCCTTTTCCTTGACTTCGACAAACTACACAAGACACGGTAATAATTATTATTACACAACACCAACAAGAAAGAAAAGGAAAGAAAAAACCAAAATCAAAATCAAAACTTTGCCATTTTCTTTCCTTTCTTCTTCTCCATCTTCGGCTTCTCAACATTGTCTTCTTCAATGGAAACTCAAGATCCACTATCTAAACTACCACAAAATTCAGATCCACCAAAGCCCCATAACTCCAACCCCAACCCTACTACATCATCACCTTCTTCTTCTTCAATGGTCAACAACATTCGAGGTGGAGCCCACCATAGGAGGGCACATTCCGAGATGAGTTTTAGATTAGCAGAAGATATGACAATGATGATGATGGATCTCCATCCCTCAGATCAAATCAATGGTGCTAACGGTAATGGTGGGTCTTCAACAGGAAGCTTAGAAGAGATCGGATCAGAGGATGATTTGTTCTCTACCTACATTGATGTTGATAAGCTTACTGGAGGCAATAATGGGAATGGAACTGGAGGGGAGAATCAGAATGACAATGATAATAAGATAAATGGAGAGAAAGGTGGCGTTGTTGGTTCGGGTTCGGGTACTTCCAGGCCTAAGCACAGACATAGTAATTCGGTGGATGGGAGTGTGTTTGGTGGGGGAGAGGTAATGGAGGCTAAGAAAGCAATGCCGCCTGATAAATTAGCTGAACTTTGGACTATTGATCCTAAAAGAGCTAAAAGGTGCGAAATTTTTTGTTTTTTGAATATGGGTTTTGCTTAAAGTTTTGATTTTTATGGGTTTTTGTGGGGAATGGCCGTGCGTTTGTTTTGAATTTGAGATGGGGTAATGTATTTGGCTTTATAGTTTAATTATTGTAGATTTTTGGGCGTGGAAAATGGACAAAGTTTGTTACTTGCTGGATTAAAAATTAGTTTTGCGTTTAGATTCTTGTTTTTTGTTGGTCAAACTTTGTTACGTTTTGGGATTTAGGAAAAATCTGCTGTTACTTGCCTTGGAATTGTTGGATTTTTGGGATTTAAGAGCTTGTTGCTACTTTTTGATATTGAGTAGGGAGGAATTGTATGCTATTGGTGGAAAATGGACACTTCAATATATAATTGAAGCCTAAGAGGAAATTAAGAAGCAGGATCACTGTCTATTTTGATTGGCTTCTGAGCTAGAGTAGTTTTCTCCAATTTATGCTGACTTGTCATTCACCAATCACTTTGGCATACTTGAGCTTTATAGTTATGGTGCATTTGCTGGGATTTTAAAAATGTTGAGCTTCAATAGTTTTCTTCAATTTATGCTGACTTGTCACGCACCAACCACTTTGGCATACTTGAGATTTTAGGTTATGGTGGGATTTTGAAAATGCTTGTAACCGTTCCATATTAGGTGGTTGGATCTAATATTTATATGGAGTTTTCTTCGCCTTTAAATGTTTAAAGCATAATCACCTCAAACATACTTTTCATAGTTTTCTTTTGAAGATGATTTTGAATATATCAATGAATACAAGAAAAGACATGTATACTCGTCTCCTGATTTATTTTTCTTCAAAAATTTTGGCATCTCTTTTGCTTATACTGAAACATAATTGTTGTTCACAGGATACTTGCAAATAGGCAGTCTGCTGCTCGCTCTAAAGAGAGGAAGGCCCGATACATACTGGAACTTGAGCGCAAAGTTCAAACCCTCCAAACAGAAGCAACCACTCTTTCTGCACAACTAACTCTGTTCCAGGTTTGTGTTTGGAGGTTGTAATTTCAGCATGCATTTTTCTTAGTTATACTCTTGTAATCTATCTATACCTCATCCGTCTACTGCAAGGATGGCTCACACTATTACGATCCATGTTCGTTGGATGGATGATTGTGTTAATGCCTAGATAAACAAAATTGATTCATGGACTTGCACCCAAAAAAAAAAAAAAAAAAAAAATTAGGTGACGATGAAGTATGATGATGATTGTAAATGATTTTGTTATTGGAAGGTGATTCTTGTGAAACTTTGTTTAGCTAATAATCTGATAACAAAACCTTCCTCTCTTAAGAAAACTCTTTCACAAGGCAAGCTAGAAGATGCAAAAAGATAGCAAGTAAAAATTTGATTTTGTCCACACCTCTTGCATTATCATTGAATTTTTAGTAATTACAGTTAAGAACACCATTTCTCTTTTCTATCAATTTCATCTCATCATGTTACTTCATTGTCTGCCCCGTGCTTAGTCCATGCTCAGCGCTCAACTATTTCTGGTTTTTAGTCAGGATGATGACCCTATTTCTCTTCTTATTCTCGTATAGAGGGACACAACTGGTCTAAGCACAGAAAACACAGAGCTTAAGCTTCGGTTGCAAGCTATGGAGCAACAGGCTCAATTGCGAGATGGTAAGTGGGATGCCTGCTTTCGGTTTATATCACTTGTGGTACCTGATAAATACTCTTTGCTTTTCCTTGGTCATTTCTTCCTTAAAAATTGTTATTTAATTCTAAGACCACCAATTTGGTTGAAACATTGGTAGATCTTATTGTCTTTTTATGATTCTGTAGCTCTGAATGAAGCACTGAAGAAGGAAGTTGAGAGGCTCAAGATTGCCACCGGGGAAATGTTAAGCCCTTCCGACTCATTCAACATGGGAATGCAACAAATGGCCTTCACCCAGTCAAACTTTTTCTCACTCCCTCCTCAACCAGGACCTACCGGTCACCCAAACATGCAATTACCATCATTTACTCATTCTCCATCTAGTATGTCCACCCACCATCTACATCAGCCAGATTCTCGTAATCTCTCAGACTATATGCAAAACGACCCTATCGGACGGTTTCAGGGGCTTGATATCAGTAATAAAGGATCAAACATAGTAAAGTCAGAAGGCCCCTCGCTTTCTGCAAGCGAAAGTAGCTCGACATTTTGATGCAAATTGGCTGCTGATTAGCTGACTTGTCCATGGCGTGCCTGTGTGGTAGGTTGTTTATAGATTGACATCCAGTCACTTAGAGAAGGTTTCTATTTTGATTTCATTATTCATTCCATTCATGCTGTGGGGTCAATTCTTAATTATTTATTCTTAGGGTTCTCCAGAAAGGGAAGCACCCTGGTTTTGATGCAATTTGTAAGAGTAAGTCCCTTGTTTAACATGGGATTTTGTGCTGATATAGAACTTGGTTGGAATGGAAGGTCATTCCTGTTGGATGTCAAGATATTATGGGATGTTTTGCCGATGTTGTCTGAATCATAGACTGTCATATTACTCTTAAACCATTTCCTGGATTGATTGAAATGGATTCCAATTCCTCCTTCCCTTCTCTCCCGAGTCTTTTTTCTTCTCTGTCAAAAATGGTCCTTCCTCTTCCACACTAAGATGTTTCAGACGCTTTTGCCAACTGCAGTCCCATCGTTTTGTCAGCATAAGATTGCATATTTATGAAGTGAAAAGCTGAAGACTTCCATTCTGGAGAAGATTGACCATTACGTTACAGATTTTATGGCCTTGAAATACCTAACAATATATTCTCAAAAATAAGTTGTATGCATGAAGTGGCCTATTCCAAATACGAGAATAGAAGAAAAATTTAGTCAAGGAAATTTGAATCTTGGTATAATAACCTGTATACATATATTTCTTTCAATTTCTAATATATAGACTCAATAAAAATTGTGGATTGCATTGCATGCAAAGTGAGAAAATTTCTCAAATATTAGGATATATATATTTTTAAAATTTTTTTAAAAAATAATAAATAATTAAAAGATTGTTTTTTTTTTTTTAAGAAAAAGTGTTGGGCTTGTAAGAAATAGTGGTAGCTCTTATTTTGTCTTTTTTATAATTCTAAAAATTATTATTTTTTAAGTAATTAGTGCTTTTTTCCCCCTTAATTTTTATACAGTCAATTCTTATTTTCACTTTTTTTTAATATTAGTTAAAAGATTAAATTATTAATTTTTTCAAAAAAGGACTAATTGATTGATTTTAAAAAATAAAAGGACTAATTTATAATTTACACCACCTAACCAAGTAACTTTTTGACCCATGCTGTGGGTAAATAAAAAGGACCCGAAGACATATGGAAAACCTAACTCAACCATGTAGGTTTCCGTGGTAATTATAAGTACATTCTTGGGCATATTTCAAACACTTTTTCCCGCCCATCCTACCTCGAAGAAAACAAATAAAAATAGTAAGTAAATGAAAATATGATATTTTTTTTTCAATTTAAAGTTCTCTTTTGCCATACAAAAACCAAAACTTTCCATCTTCTGCTCTCTGGTACGGTTCTTGCTTTTCTCACTCAGAGAAATACTCACTCACGGTAGGGTAAGGTACGGTTCCTTTTTCTTCACCGTTCCTGCTCTTACATTTCTTGAAAAAAAAATCATGAATTTGTTTTATACATTTTAGTAATTACATTTTCTCAATGCCCTAGGGGTTTTTTTTTTTTTTAATTAATCAGTTCATTGCTGGTTTCTCAGGGTTTATTTTGTAAAAACGAAGAATGTTTGTGCCGTTTTTGAGTTGATGTTTGTATTTTTCAGGGTCTGAAATGGGGAGCGAAGTGAAAAGTGAAACATCTGCTGGTTCTCCTACTTCGGTTCTAGAAGACGAGGTATTATGTTAGCTTTGTTTATATATATCTCTGTTTGGTTCTCGAAAAAGGAATGCTTTTTTTTTTTTAAAGAGTTGATTAGTTTTATTTTTTGTGTGCAAAGTAGAAGAAAAAGTGATTTGTTTTTTAATTGATTGTCTGTTAGACTGATTTTTTTTTTTTTTAAAGATTTGATTGCTTATATTTTATTTGATTTTTTTTTCCTTTTGTTTTTCTTAACTTGAAGGAGAAATGTCAGGTGAAAGTAGAAGAAGAGGTATTTGTAGAAGCTAAAAATGGGGACTTGTCTCTTATATCGAAATCTATGGCGGAGGAGGAAGAGAAACTGTTGAATTCTCGGATAAAAGAAGAAGGGCAAGAAAAAGTGCCGGAGGAGGGAACTCAGTTGGATGAAAGTCAATTTAATAAATTGGATCAGCTTTTAACTCAGACTCAGCTCTATTCACAGTTCTTGCTGGAAAAGATTGATCAAATCACAGTAGTATATATCTTCTCAAATGCCTTTTTTAATGCATTTTCTTTTCCATTTTTCTTTTCTTGACTTGCGACTTAAATTGCATTGCTAGAATGGAGTGGAGCAAAAGAATGAACCTGGTGAGCTGCAAAAGAGAGGTCGTGGATCAAAAAGAAAAGCTGCCACACTATACAATTCTGTAATCTTCTATCTTAATGTGTGCTTCATATCAATGTTAGTATTTTGTATATCATGTTAGAGGTGGCTGCTGTGGCAGTTAGATATGCTGTATTGCATAAAATTGATTATTAAGCTCATTTTTTTGCTTGACTAGTTGCAAATTGTAGCTATTATAAAGTTTATCCAGTTAACAGGAGGACAACAACAAATTTATAATAACTTTTTCATCATATATGTTCTCTGCTTGGTTCCTAATGTAATAGAGCTGTTGACAAGATACATTGTTTATAAAGGAACATTTAGCCTGCCTGCCAGAGTTAATTTGTAAAGGATGACGATGGGAAAATTTAAGAGAAGTGATTTAAGAAGGTGAATGGATAAATAATCTTGGTGGAGTTTGGTTGTGTGACGTCTCAAAGCTTCCTGTATCTAATGTTATGTGTTTTGCAATGAAAAGATGTCATTTTAAGATTTGCCATAATAAATTATGACATGCTATTACCTTTCTTTAGAGGAAAGCCAAGAGAGCAGTTACTGCAATGCTTACAAGATCTAAAGAAGTTGAAAAGGCTGAGGATGCAGATTTGACTGAGGACGAAAGAGTTGAGAAAGAGCAGAGAGAACTTGTGCCTTTGCTAACTGGTGGCAGGCTGAAGTCTTATCAGATTAAAGGTGTGAAATGGCTGATCTCTCTTTGGACAAATGGGCTTAATGGGATCCTTGCTGATCAAATGGGACTCGGAAAGACTATCCAAACAATTGGTTTCCTTGCACATCTAAAAGGGAATGGTTTAACTGGACCCTATTTGGTTATTGCTCCCCTTTCCACTCTCTCAAATTGGGTGAATGAGATTTCGAGGTTAAAAATTTAATTCGGTTTTTCATGTAAACTGCCCACCTTGATCTTTTAATCCACAGGTCTATTTGATTCTCTGTGAATTTCTTTGAACAGGTTTGCCCCTTCTATGGATGCAATTGTCTACCATGGAAGCAAGCAACAAAGGGATGAGATAAGGAGGAAGCACATGCCCAGATCAATTGGCCCCAAATTTCCAATTGTTGTTACTTCCTATGAGATTGCATTATCTGATGCAAAGAAGCATTTGAGGCATTACCCATGGAAGTATCTTGTGGTTGATGAGGTGAGTGTTTTAACTAGATAACAACTTCATATTACACTCTTGATAATTAAATTGCACTTTGAAAACACATGCTTTATTTTGTCTTAGGCCATGCTTGTGCTTATCCATAGGCTCTGAGATACCTTTCCACTTGTTTCTGCTTTTTGCACTTTTAACTATTTGAATCCTTCTTCTTTCATGTGCCATTACTTTAATTTGCAGGGTGAGTGATTTTCTAACTATTCTAAATTTTAACTTTCTTATTGAAGGGACACCGGCTGAAAAATTCAAAATGCAAACTGCTGAAAGAGTTGAAATACTTGCACATAGACAATAAGCTCTTACTAACTGGGACCCCTCTGCAAAACAATTTGTCTGAGCTTTGGTCATTGTTGAATTTCATTTTGCCTGATATATTCCAATCCCATGAAGAATTTGAGTCATGGTCAGTATGCTTTGTCTATAGGTTATTTTCGTATGCAATATTCATAACCTTTTAACTTCATTTGCGAAGTTGCTCTTGTATTTTCCAGTATTTATTGCCATATAAAATCCAATTATTTTGTTATGGCTGCAATGTTTCACATGTACTGCCTTGTGTATTTCAACATTTATTTATCCAGGGAAAGAAAATATGATATGTTCTGGTTTTCAAATGTTACCTGGAAGTCTGGGCAGAGCTATTTTGTTTCTTTCTGCACATTTGACACAATAAAATTACATATATTTGTTTGTCATGAATATGGTTAGTGAAGCACCACTGGTTTGTGGGGACGCTTCACTTATTTTTAGTGGATTAAAGTTCAAAATTTATGGATTAGAAAACACCACTTGAACATTTTCTTCTTGATAAACATAAAAGTTCCCCATTTGGTGGTCCTTTCTATTGTGCTCCTTTGTCTATGGATATAGGTTTTGAGTCAAACTTTCTAAATTCAAGTACATGATATCTGTTTTTTTTTTCTTTTTTGCCTTCTTAATCCTCTTGGTTCGTTTTATCTCCTTAAGAACATTTGTTTAAGCCTAATGTTTTTAATCTTTTTTTGTATTTTTATAACACCAGTAGCCGATTCATTTAATGACACATTAAACTGAGAGGATATAATAAAACTGATTTAAGCTTTTTTTTTTTTAATTATTATTATTTCATTCTGTATGGCCTCAGTTAGCTTACTTCTTGATTTGTTCACGAGAAGAAAAAAGTACATAGCCTATGGTGATGATGCTTACTGATTTTGCCTGACCTTTTTGTAACTAACGACTGTTTTTTCTTTCTCAGGTTTGATCTGTCAGGAAAGTGCAGTAATGAAGCAATGAAGGAAGAAGTAGAGGAAAGACGAAGGGCTCAGGTATGCATCGTTGCTAATGATGCAGTTTTACTTTTTCATAAAACATTAGAATGGCATGGTGTATATACTGGGTGTTCAATCAACCTCAGGTTGTAACCAAACTCCATGCAATATTGCGCCCCTTTCTCCTTCGGAGAATGAAGACTGATGTGGAGCAGATGCTCCCTCGGAAAAAGGAGATCATTTTATATGCTACTCTGACTGAGCACCAGAAGAAATTCCAGGATCATTTAATCAATAAGGAACTGGAGAACTATTTACGAGAGAAGGTGGATACAGGTATCAGATTACTTTCCATCAATTTTTTTATTGATAAAATATCAGCTTTAAAAGGAAGAGAAGAGGGTTTATTTACATGTGATTATTTTTCCAGACTATCTGGTATTATCCTCTGGAATGTACTTTGGAAGTTGCATTGTTTGTTGGCCATTTGGACAGCTGGCTATCAAAGTATGACTGCTCTAAGTGAGAATTTCAGGATACTAACTGTTTATCCATTAGCTCATGTGTATGTTTTCGCCCATTTGATGACAATGGAAAATGGTGAATCTAAAGCCTTAATTGCTAATTGAAGTAAAAAGTGACTATTGTCTGCTTTTGAGTCACAGTATTGTCCATTTCTCCATATTTTTGGTTGTTGGTCCTTGACTTAATGCTGACTATGGTTTTTCCTATGATTTGTGAAGCACGAGTCCATTAATGTTCATATTGTAATTAATATTTTTAGTTGCAGATAGAAGCTTGATCAAACTATTGTATGGCCATATTAGTTGTTTGCTTAATTTTCATTTATTTATTTATTTATTTATTTTTTAATTATTCTAACTGATAGCAAACTTTAGTCCCTTTTTCCTTTTCCATACATCTTGACTTGCATTGCAACAAGCACCGGCCCAATAGAATATGTAGCCGCTCCACATATTTTCCTGTATTGACTTATGGTTTTTGATATTGCAGGATGTGGTATGAAAGGAAAGCTTAATAATTTGATGCTTCAACTTCGGAAAAATTGCTACCACCCTGACCTCTTAGAGTCTGCCTTTGATGGCTCAGGTATTTATTTGCCTTTTAACTCATTTAATTACTGTATGCTGAATTTGTGTCTCTAGATTCACTAACGCTTTGCTATTCTTGACAGATTTCTATCCACCTGTGGAACAGATAGTTGGGCAATGCGGCAAATTCCAATTGCTGGACAGATTGTTGAATCGGTTGTTTGCACTCCAGCACAAAGTATGATCTACAAGGTTTTACATCTTTTACTTTATTGTAAGCTATGTTCTTATCTGCTACTGGCTTTGTGAACAGGTTCTGATTTTCTCTCAGTGGACTAAAATTTTGGATATAATGGAATACTATTTAAGTGAGAAAGGATTTGAAGTTTGTAGAATTGATGGCAGCGTGAAGTTGGATGAAAGGAAGAGACAGGTTTGTTTCAACCTGCAATTATTTTATTTTATTTTCCAAAATTGGAACTTTAGATATTTGATATTAATTTTCAGCTTTGGGGTTTAGACATGTGAGATAACTTGTTCACAACCATAGCCGAATGTTGGAACTGTTTATAATTTTGGATTCGCAACTGTCTTCGGGTCAATTCGTACAACTAGGTCATTCATACACAATCTATTATTTATTCCTGGTGTCTTTGCTTTTCATCAAAGTATTTCTGCTTGTTTTCTTTGGAAAGCTTGTTTCAAGATCTTGGTGACCCAATTTACACTTCAACTGCACTCCCTGTCTTTAATAATCAAGCTCACATTTTGGCTAAGTTTATTGTCACTCCCTTTGCTTCTTTTCCAGCCAATGTATGCTAATATTTGTGAGGATTAAATCGAGTTATTATTCTAGTCCTGAAACCGATTGTTTATGTTCAACAGATTGAGGAATTTAATGATGAGAACAGCCAATGTAGGGTATTTCTTCTTAGCACAAGAGCTGGTGGATTGGGTATCAACCTCACTTCAGCTGATACCTGTATACTGTACGACAGTGATTGGGTATTTTCTTGATCTCTTGTTCCATTGTCCACCTTTAACATACGAAAACTCTAGATTTTTCCTGATTTATACTATTTCGTTGATCTTTACATCTAAATTTCAGAACCCTCAAATGGATCTGCAAGCCATGGATAGATGTCACCGAATTGGGCAAACGAAACCTGTTCATGTTTATAGACTAACAACAGCTCAATCTGTTGAGGTATTCAATGGCGGTCTCTGTTGAGGTATTTAATGCTTTTGTTTGGTTGCCAATAATTGACAAATTGTATATATACAGGGTCGTATTTTGAAAAGAGCTTTTAGTAAGTTGAAGCTTGAGCATTTGGTAATTGGAAAAGGGCAGTTTCATCAAGAGCGAACCAAGTCTAACAGCTCTGAAGTCACGGAGGTTTGTTTTATCTGTTTTGTTTTTCTCCTCTTCTACATTTTACTTGACTGTTTAAGAAAGATTTGATTTTTTTCACCTTGTTTATTTTTTTTAAAATTTTTTGAACGCCTTCTAATTTAGTGTTAAATGGTGAAACAATGATTTTTGGCAATAATACCCAGATGGCATGAGCATGTTGAAAACTGAACATTCTATTATGATAAATTGATATTTTGATTGAACTTTCAGGATGAGGATATATTGGCCTTGCTTCGGGATGAAGAAACAGAAGAGGACAAGTTGATACAGACAGATATCAGTGATGAAGATTTAGAGAGGGTTTTGGATCGTAGTGACTTAGTTGTAGGCTTATCACCAGATGAGATTGCTGCTACTTATTCAATTCCCGTGAAAGGGCCTGGTTGGGAGGTGGTAATACCAACTGCAAGTGGAGGCATGCTCTCTACCCTCAACAGCTAGTTGCTTGTTGGTACATTCATAGATTTTGGTTGCGGTTGAGGGTGCAGAAATGGCCTGACCATTCTGAATGTCTGCTTTTTTGTGGTGGCGGGGTGACCTCCAACGGAGGATGTGGAGTTTGCATGGCTCACTTTTGTATGCGAGTAGAGTTTTGCTCTTACTAGATGTCTCTTAATTTTGCAAACAATAGAATGGAAAGAGGCCATTTTTGTAGATGTCTAATTATTAGACACATGTTCTCATCTACTGATTCAATTTTAAAAGCAAAATGAACAATTGACTACAAATGATTTTATCAGAATCAGTAATTTGCAAAGATCAATTAACTCAACATTTATATTTGATAGGTTAAAAGAAAAAGAAAAAAGGGTTAGTAGCGTGTGAGGGTTAGTGTGTATGGACACACACATACAACATATATATATATATATATATATATATGGGGTATTTTCTTACCGAATATAAGATTTCATAAAGATTACAGAAGAAATCTGTAATCTGCATTGCATCAATGAGTTGTTTGCTATCAAATGACTTTATTTTAATTTGAATGACATTTCATATAATTTGTCTGTATGCATTTTGATTATGGAAAATGTGATGATTTTGTAGGGGCCTTGAATATGCTTCAACTGAATACACGAGCTAGATTATACCTATGATTAAAATATAAGGAGAAATGAATGAATGAATTATTTATTTTTAAAAAACTATATATATATATATATATATTAAAACCTTTTTAGTTGTTTTTAATTTATTTTGATTTTTTTTTCTAAAAACTAGAAAATAGAAAAAAAAAGAAAAGAAAGAGAGTAATGAAAAAAATGACATTTTATAAAATAAATAATTAAATATTAATTTTTTAAACTAGGAGTAATTAATGATTTTTTCAAAAGTAAAGGATTAATTTATAATTTACTCTTATAACCTACTTGTGCATCTCAATTCTTTTTTCCCCTAACCAATGTGAGAAAGTATGGTTTAAAATCAAAATTTGAATCCACTAAATCATGAAAAGGAAATTTTTTTAACCATTAACATGTTAAAATAAATAGAATTATATGTGAAGAAACTTACTAGTATATATGATGGGTCAGTATGCCACAGCCTGTGAACAACATAAGCAATTGCTAGAGAAAATATAATTTTGAAACCATGATTTGGACAATCAAAGTTAACATTTGTTAGAAACACTAGAACTCAGAGCGTCATAATTAAAGAGGAATGCTTTTTGTAAACTCCAATAATTACCATTATCTCTATATTGTCATAAACCAAATGAGATTTAAGCATTTAAAACTTAACATGCCATACAACAAATAAATATATATATACAAAGATCAGTCTTACCAAACACTAGTAGTCCCCTAATAAAATTGGAGATAAGAACAATTATTATTATTATTATTTTTAAAAAATTCTTCTCTACCCTACCAAACGCCAATAGTCTCATTCTAAGTGTTTTGCCTTAAAGAGTTTCATGCCATTTGTAATGGAAAAGATTATAAATACCTCTACTTGGAGCCAAAGATCTTCATCTATCATATTTAGCAAACTATATCTCTTATAATAGACATGATGTCCTTAATCACTACACAAACCATTCTCAATGTTTCTCCTTCTCATATATATACTTTTCATCTTTCACTTTCGTGCCAAGTCAAAATTATCTCACTCGTTCAATCCCTACTTCTACAGGAAACTTGACAAACCTATATATACATTTTTTATCTTTGTGGTAACGAATTCTCTGGTTCCATTGGAGATTTGAAAAGCCTACCCCACTATCTGCGGAACAAACCAACTCTCTCGTTCCATTCCTCAAGAAATTGGTTCTTTAGCGTCTCTCTATGAGTTGGACTTGTCAAGTAATGCTTTGACAGGAGAAACCGTGAAATCCCAAGTTCGATCAATTGGAAAGTTGAAAAACTTATCTTTTACTTTCCAGCAAGCAGCTCTCTTGGCGCCCATTCCTTCGGGTCTGTTGGAAACATCACTATGTACTGCACATCATCTCGATCGAAATAATATATGTTCTTTCAGAATTGGGACAGCTTAACTCCTTTATGGATTTGAGAATGTTAGAAAACAAACTTCATGGTCCCTTACCTCCAGAGATGAACAATCTCACTCATTTGAAGTTTTTGGCTTTGTCTAGCAGCGAATTCACAGGCCCTTTGCCACGAAATTTCTGCCTTGGAGGATTACTTGAAAACTTCACTGCAGACTAAAATTTTCTCAGGTTCCATCCCAAGAAGCTTAAGAAACTGTGCTAGTTTATATCGAGTAAGGCTTGATTGGAATCAATTGACAGGGAATATTTCAGAGGATTTTGTTGTCTATCCTCATCTGGATTATATTGATTTGAGTTACAATAATTTTTGTGGTGAGCTTTCTTCAAAATGGGGAGATTGCCATAACATGACAATCCTTGAAATCTCAAACAATAATATATCTGGTAAGATACCATCAGAGTTTGGGGAGGGTTTCACAAAACTTGATTGATCTATCATCAAATCACCTAAAAGGGACAATCCCCAAAGAATTGGGAGAGTTGAAGTTGTCGTACAACCTTAGTACTCTTAAGAACGACCATCTTTCAGGCTCCATTCGCTTAGAAATCAAGATGCTTCTAATCTTGCAATCCTTAATTTAGCGTCAAATAATCTGAGTAGCTCAATTCCAAAATAACTTGGGGAGTGCTCAAAGTTGTTGTTGTTGAACCTAAGTGGTAATAAAATCACAAAAAGCATACCATACGAGATAAGCCTTCTACATTTTCTTCAAGTTCTTGATCTTAGTTGCAATTTTCTGACCAGAGAGTTACCATGGCAATTGAAAATGTTAGAAACTTTTAATATCTCTCACAACATGCTTTCTGGTTCCATTCCGACTTCTTTCAAAGATTTGGTTAGTGTAACTACTGTCGACACTTCCTACAATGAGTTTGAGGGCTCTCTCCTCAACATCAAAGCGGTGCTTCATTTGAGGCATATAGAAATAATAAGGGTCACGTATGCGGCAATACCAGTGGTCTGAGGCCGTGTAATCTTCTCAAAAGCAGGATAAATGATGAGAGAAGGGGCAATAGATCTTGTGATTTTGATTGTACTCCCTGTTATAGGAAGCCTACTTCTAGCATTTGTTTTGATTGGAGCCTTCTTCATTCTCTTCCGAAGAGCTAGAAAAAGAAAACCTGAGGTACGGGAGGAGCAACATCGAGATATGTTCTCTATATTGGATCTCATTTGCAGGTACCTGCTCCAGGTGCGTTTCTTGTATATTTAATAAATGTTTTGATTGAATTTTTATCTATCAACTTCTAATATCTTGTGATACTATCCTACCCAAACATTTATTCTGAGAAAAACAAAATATAACCAACTTTTTTGTTGGCAGAGCTAGCTTATACAATGGAAGTGAAAGAAAAGGATGCCTATAGCTTTGGAGTGAAAAAAATGACAGTGATGATGGGAAGGCATGCAGGAGATCTTGTCTCAACATTTTCATCATCAGCATCTTCCTCTTCATGTTCATCAATTGCTCAATTTACTCTGTTGCAAAAATGTGCTAGACAAACTGTGAATGATTAGGTTTTAAATGAACTGATTTTATTATATCAAAACATATATTTATACACACAAAAAGAGTCCTAAACTTTAGGACTTGTTTCCTATTTTAAGAAGAAAATATTGCCTAATCTATTCTAAATAGAAAACAAATATATAGCTAATCACACATTGATTTATAGCCTAATTCATAGCTAATTTATAGCAAAGAATCCCAACATGACTTCCCTTCAAGTTGGGTTGTAAATATTTATCATACCTAGCTTGCAACTACGATCTTCAAAATGCACCCTTGGAAGTGCTTTAATTAGGATATCTACGGTTTGTAGATTAGAAGGAATGTAAGTAGGCTTGATTACTCCTCTTTTTATCTCTTCTCCGATAAAATGCCGATTTATTTCCACATGCTTAGTTTGATCATGATGAATTGGGGTTTTAACAATACCGATAACAGATTGACCGTCACAAAGTAAATGTATTAATCCCTTGAAAGGTATCTTCAATTTAACTAATACTCATTTCACTCAAATTTTTTCACAAATACCATGAGCCATTGCTTGAAATTTTGCATCAGCACTACTCTTAGCTACCATAGGTTGCTTTCTACTCCTCCATGTTATCAAACTTCCCCAAACATAGGTACAATAGCTATAAGTGGATCGTCTATCTATGATCGAGCCTGCCTAGTATGTATTACAATACAATTCCACTTCCTTATTTGTGTTCTTTCCGAATAATAGTCCCTTACATGAAGTCATTTTCAAGTATCTAAAGACTCGTACACTACTCGTCATATGTTCTTCAATAGGGTTGTTCATGAACCGGCTAACAACACTTACTCGGGAATGTTATGTCCGGCCTAGCATATGATAGATAGATCAACTTCCCTACGAGTCTTTAATATCTTCCCTTATCTATAGGAGCACTTTGTCCTTATCGGACCCAAGTTTGATGGTGTAGTCCATAGGTGTTTCGTAGGTTTACACCCAAGCATACCTATTTTTTTATAGAAAATCTAGTACATACTTTCGTTGAAAGACCGAAATGCCTTGCTTAGACCTAGCCACTTTCATTTTCAAGAAGTATGTGAGTTTACCTAGATCCTTGATCTCAAATTCTCCGTTAAAAAATTCCTTGACTCTTGAAATCTTCTCATCATAATCCCTTGTTAGAAAAATGTCATCAACATAGATAATTAACACAAAAATCAATCATTTTAAAGAATTTTTTACAAACATTGTATGATTAGATTGTCTCTGTATATACCCATTACTCTTCATAACTTTTGCATATATCTCAAACCAAGCTTTTGGTGATTGTTTAAGACCGTAAAGTGACTTCTTTAGTCGACACACTTTGTTGATGTTTGATGAGTTTTGTAGTCCTTAGGGAATGCTAGACCTCCTCTTCTAGATTCTTATTCAAGAA